ATTGCGAACGAATGAGAAGGAAACGAAACTTTGAGTTAAGAAAGAGAATGAGAGACCAAAAGCCAGAAGCCATTACCTGGCGCTGATTGACGGAGAAACCCTAACACCAGAACGTGCGGTGAAAGAGAATGAGAGCATCTAGGGTTTTTGTGTTGCTTTGCATTTTATGGTAGAGACCCAGGTCAAGTCGGGTTGTGGATCCTTAATAACTGGGTCGGCCCATATGTAAAAAAATACCGATTCTATCTGTAGGACCTTTTTTTCTCAATGTCCCCGAAATACTTTTTCTTAAATATTATTCTCAAAATAGTTCAGTCCAGTAAACTTGCACTTTTTTCTCAGGGGATTTTCATGGTATTTTTTTTTTATAAAAAAATCAAATTGAATTCAATCACTTTAGTGGAATTTCGAATTAGTTAGTTAATAATGAAAATTATGATTGGATGGGCTATTGAATTCAATGAAAAGAAGCTATCCTAGTTAGGTCATCAAAATTAATTAATTTTGTTTCCAATTAAAAGTTTTGCGCTGTGCTATATCATGTATTTCTTAATTTAACAAATTTAACATTTGACCTAAAATAAATTTTAAATATTAAATATAATAATTGGCTAAACTTATTCAGAAACATATTTAGGAGAGAACAAATATGGAACTTATAAATTAAAACCAACTAACTTCTCTACGGCCTTGTTCGTTATGGATTTGGAGGAGGTGATTGAAGGGATTTAAGAATTTTTTTTGTTATTTATTTGAGTGGATTTGGAGGTAAGTGAGAATGAATTTGGAACTAAAGTTTGTTTTAGAATTAGTGTATGATTTGATTGACGTGACAAATTAAAAAAAATTACTTTAAAATTCATTCTTATCTACTCCAAATTCACTCAAATAAACAACAAAAAAAAGTTTACTTTCAAATCTTTTTAAATTCCCTCAATCAGTCTCCCCCATATCCATTCAAGTGAACAAAGCCTACATATTTTATTTTCAATTTGTTCGTAAATTAATTTTAATTTATGGAAGCTTGTCTTCTTTTCATTTGAAATGCTTTTGAAGTTAGGAATGATCGCATTGATGATCTACAATAAGATTTCACTTATATGAAAAAGAAAACGTTTAATAATCTAATGTCCCACCAGATCTAAAGCATAAGGTTATATGGAAAATTTTCAAATACTTAACCTAAAATTTGACGTAAAAAACTATTATCTAATTTAATTTATTCGATGCGCCTTATATTTTCTTTCAAAATTTGTAATTTCTCATCCTATTACCGCTAATCAAGTTCGATATGCATAAATTTTGTAGAGTTTAATTTGTAATTATTGTGAATTATAAATATTTTCACACCATTAACTAAACCAATCATTATAAAAGATAATAAGACAGTATTGTTTTTTTAAACAACAAATACTTTTTGTTAAAAACAATTTTTCTCTAATCTATAAGACCCAATGCTTTTGTTTAGAAATTTATATTCAGAAAACTTTGGATAGTTAATAACAATGTCCTAATATATTTGCTAAAAAAAGTAATTATAGAAAAATTGCTTTCTGAAAATACTAGTTTTTTTAAACATAAACTAAACACTGGAAAGCAATTAAATCTCTTCCAAATTTTGGTGTCATTGCTACAACTACAAACACAAACACGATGGCTTAATATGTCATACATTTTTAGTTGTTTGGATCTTCGCCATCACATTTTTTAGTGCACAAAACTGGAAGTTACTATATCGATAAAACAACACTGCTTATNCCAAGATTTTCAAGACAGGAACAAATCTTCTTGACAGCTATTCTAAAACATTGAAATTTGTAGGCGATAATAAAATTTACCCTTTATAAAAAAAAGGAACATCGAAATAACACTTATCGTATTAAAAAGACTGTTATTTCATGCCCGAAAACAATAAAAAATTACCTGTGCAGCATGCAATATAACACTCGGAGCAAACATAAATACCAACAGATCAGATTGCTTAAATAGAAAATAGAACAATTGTACTTTTGCCAAGAGTAAGATCATGAAGTAAAATAATTAAACCAAGGCAAAAATAAGACACCTTAAACGTCAATACACAAAAATCCATCTACTGAAACTAAAACAAAGTAAATATGACTTATTTCTTCTTGTCTCCAGCTCCACCAGCCCTGCACACAAAGAAAATAACATTAGCATCAGCTAACTGATACGGAGAAGCCAATCAGTAAATAGTGGGATTATAAATATAAACAAAGAATAACCTCATTTTACGGAGAACGTTGGACATCTCCTCACGCTTCTTCTTGGCACGTTTGTGAGTTCCAAGCTTTCTCTTGGCAACCTTAAGAGCCCTCTTATCCTTCCCAACCTTAAGTAACTCGGTTATACGTTTTTCATATGGTGCAAAACCAGCAACCTCTCTGATGAGGTTCCTCACAAAGTGCACCCTTTTGCTTGTTTTCTGAGTGCACAACATAAGACAGGTCAGATTCCTTAAAAGAAAAAGACTGATTCTAAATCTGAGAACTGAAAGTAACAAAATTACCAATTAAATTTTCTCTACTGTACAGAATATTAGGTGTGGCACAAAACCATGTTTCCCTACCACAAGAAACTTCTAGCCAGTCTGAAACCGAATAAATACAATAGAAGGGGCAGAAATTTAAAACTTCAAATAACTTTTTACTATGCAGCAAAAAATTTGGACAAAGAACAACTATTTCACAGTTTCATTTAGAAAGACAACCCTAAAATTATAGTCACTGCTTTGAATAATAATTTGATCCTAGTAACGGCATTTCAATCTAAAAAGGTGCAAGTGATAAATGTAAAAGAGTGAATCAAAATTGAAAAACCAAGGATAAAACTTACCCCCTTGCGATCTGAGGGGCGTGAAGGCAATTCCTTCTTAGTGACGACGTGACCCTTGTTCAGTCCAACAAAAAGGCCCGTACTAGGCGGTTTGGGAGCCATATCTCTGTCAAAAAGCAAACACGAATCAGAATCGTTAATGGTCTGTGTAATCAGAAGCTATTGCGAACGAATGAGAAGGAAACGAAACTTTGAGTTAAGAAAGAGAATGAGAGACCAAAAGCCAGAAGCCATTACCTGGCGCTGATTGACGGAGAAACCCTAACACCAGAACGTGCGGTGAAAGAGAATGAGAGCATCTAGGGTTTTTGTGTTGCTTTGCATTTTATGGTAGAGACCCAGGTCAAGTCGGGTTGTGGATCCTTAATAACTGGGTCGGCCCATATGTAAAAAAATACCGATTCTATCTGTAGGACCTTTTTTTCTCAATGTCCCCGAAATACTTTTTCTTAAATATTATTCTCAAAATAGTTCAGTCCAGTAAACTTGCACTTTTTTCTCAGGGGATTTTCATGGTATTTTTTTTTTATAAAAAAATCAAATTGAATTCAATCACTTTAGTGGAATTTCGAATTAGTTAGTTAATAATGAAAATTATGATTGGATGGGCTATTGAATTCAATGAAAAGAAGCTATCCTAGTTAGGTCATCAAAATTAATTAATTTTGTTTCCAATTAAAAGTTTTGCGCTGTGCTATATCATGTATTTCTTAATTTAACAAATTTAACATTTGACCTAAAATAAATTTTAAATATTAAATATAATAATTGGCTAAACTTATTCAGAAACATATTTAGGAGAGAACAAATATGGAACTTATAAATTAAAACCAACTAACTTCTCTACGGCCTTGTTCGTTATGGATTTGGAGGAGGTGATTGAAGGGATTTAAGAATTTTTTTTGTTATTTATTTGAGTGGATTTGGAGGTAAGTGAGAATGAATTTGGAACTAAAGTTTGTTTTAGAATTAGTATATGATTTGATTGACGTGACAAATTAAAAAAAATTACTTTAAAATTCATTCTTATCTACTCCAAATTCACTCAAATAAACAACAAAAAAAAATTTACTTTCAAATCTTTTAAAATTCCCTCAATCAGTCTCCCCCATATCCATTCAAGTGAACAAAGCCTACATATTTTATTTTCAATTTGTTCGTAAATTAATTTTAATTTATGGAAGCTTGTCTTCTTTTCATTTGAAATGCTTTTGAAGTTAGGAATGATCGCATTGATGATCTACAATAAGATTTCACTTATATGAAAAAGAAAACGTTTAATAATCTAATGTCCCACCAGATCTAAAGCATAAGGTTATATGGAAAATTTTCAAATACTTAACCTAAAATTTGACGTAAAAAACTATTATCTAATTTAATTTATTCGATGCGCCTTATATTTTCTTTCAAAATTTGTAATTTCTCATCCTATTACCGCTAATCAAGTTCGATATGCATAAATTTTGTAGAGTTTAATTTGTAATTATTGTGAATTATAAATATTTTCACACCATTAACTAAACCAATCATTATAAAAGATAATAAGACAGTATTGTTTTTTTAAACAACAAATACTTTTTGTTAAAAACAATTTTTCTCTAATCTATAAGACCCAATGCTTTTGTTTAGAAATTTATATTCAGAACTTTGGATAGTTAATAACAATGTCCTAATATATTTGCTAAAAAAAGTAATTATAGAAAAATTGCTTTCTGAAAATACTAGTTTTTTTAAACATAAACTAAACACTGGAAAGCAATTAAATCTCTTCCAAATTTTGGTGTCATTGCTACAACTACAAACACAAACACGATGGCTTAATATGTCATACATTTTTAGTTGTTTGGATCTTCGCCATCACATTTTTTAGTGCACAAAACTGAGAAGTTACTGTATCGATAAAACAACACTGCTTATGTTCAGCTTAACAATTTGTAGGATTTATGTTTGATGTTTACTGTAACAAGCTTAGTTTTGTAAGGTTCTTCAGCTTAAGGTGCGGTAGGGTAGTATTGATAAATATGAATTGACAGTCCCATCAACTACTATGGAAATGCTTGTCACTGTAATTTAATGTTTTGAAAGTTAATCAAATGTCAGTTCTGAAAGTTTTAGTAATTGTGCTTGTTATGTCCAAACAGCAATAATAAGGTATACCACATTTACATCAATGAAGTTAAAGATGAATAACTCACTGTTTTGGAAAATTATGTCAGTATACATATAAGTTAATTAAATCAAGGCTTGCATTTCTGGTAACATCCTTTTGGCATTTCCAACTCCAGTGTTTGCTAATTTGAAAAATTGCCATGGCCAACATATGCGTCTCACTTTATGAATATTGTTTTCACATTTATCTGTTTCTTCTAGTTGTCTGGTTAGTTCTTCAACTCTCCCACGAAGTTCAACTGCTCTAGCATCAGCCAGTTTCAAAGACCTCTCTGCTGCTTCCTGTGCAGTTATTGCAGTCATTGCAAGTTCCTCTTTCAGTCTTAATTTTCCATTGGATATGTCCAAATTAGTCTTTGTTTTATGCAGTTCTTGTTTCAAGACAGCCACCTGGTGAAACATAAAGATGCTCTCAAATGTCACCACATATTGCTAAGTTATGAAAAAATAGTTCTTCACTCTACAACATTTTCCAATGAATCTTTACCATTTTGTCACGCTCTTCAATCTCTACCTTTGCAGCTTCAACTTCCAACTCACAAGCTTCCTTCCATCTAGCAACTTCTTCTTCGGCTGCTTTCATTTCCATCAAAAACTCCTCTACCTTTTGACAAGTTAGACAGAAACCAAGGTTGGTAAGAAAAATAACTTTTATTAGGGAACTGTTTTTTCATGTGTTGATGAAGCAATTGATTACATTTTGAGCCAAGGTTCTCTCTCTATCTTCTAACTCTTTGATGTAGAGTTTGTTTTCTGCAATTTCTTTTGCTTGTTTTTCTGTGAGACACTGGAGACGCTCTGTATCTGACCTGGCGTGAGGTTCATGATAAATAATCCAAAACCAAAGAATATGAACTCCAATATATACTTCTAAATTATTATAAGTTGCAGCAGAAAGCCTCAAACAAAAATAATCTCAAATAGCCTAATCATTATATAAGCCAACAATCAAAGAAAAATAGGAGGCATCAATTTAATTTCACTATTTTTCCTTGTAAATCACGCAGTATTAGCAGAAACTCCATATCATTATGACAAAAAAAGTATAATTTCAATATAACATCAGGTGGCAAAGTACCTAGATTCTTCCAAAGATCTCCTTAATCGAGTGATTTCAAGACGTAAATTCTTCATCATTCTTTCCACGGTTGAGGCCTTGGAAAATAACTATAAATTTCAGATAAAAGAAAGAGTTGATTGTTCTAGATATTAAGAATTAAAAGCGTAATAAGAGCTTACCACACTAACAACTTCCTCTTCACACTCACTGCTATCTGATTTGGCCCCAGAAATCTCCGTTGATTGTTCAGTGTTCCCACCACCCATCATGAACCAACCAAACTGCAAAAGGGGCATCCTTTTATGGTCATGTCCCTTTATTCTCTTCTCCAATGCTTCTTTCTCCAACAGGGCAACCCTAAGCAAGTTATTCACATCCCTATTCTCCTCGGTCAAACTGATCAAACTGCTCTCCAATTCTTTCTTCTCCTTCCTCCTCATCTCCTTGTACCTATCCACCCTTTTCTCCACCTCAACCGCAAGCCTTGAGATCAATCTCGACTCTTCCAACAACATCCTTGATTCCTCACCTGAACACTCCCCCTTACAATCTTTCACTGAAGCTTCGTTCTTTTCTCCCTCTAAACCTTCTATCACTCTAGACAAGCTATACTTCGTTGAAGTGAGACAATCCAAAACCATAAACATCGCCCCATTTCTCTCTTTCCTCTCACTCTCCAGTCTCTCGACCCTTTCTTTAAAAAATTCCACTTCTTTTCCCTCCAACCCATCCTTTTCTTTTTCTTTCAGAACCTCTTCAAAGTAAGGGACCCTGTCTGGATGATGAGGACGGTCAGAAAATTGTTCCATGTTGCATATAATAGTGGATGCTTGAGGATCTTCATGAAGACAGAAGCAAACCAGAGTTAGAGGGGTGGAGGAAAGAATAGTTTCAAAACTACCAGTCAGAGGGGAAGGTTAGTTAAAGATGAATTTCAACTATTTGCGACACTGATGCTTCGTTTTGTAAAATGTAAATACAGAACAATTGTTAGATAATAATAATAATATATATATATATATATATATATATATATATATATATGGGTTTTGCTAGTTCGTAAGTCTTGTTTTTGAGTTGTTATATTTTAGAGATGTGTATCGAATTTTAGTAGACAAAAATGACTTTATATATCATGGATTCTAAATTCTAAGATTAAGGGTATTTTAATGATTTTCATTCTCAAAATAAAAAAAAACAAAATTATTGCTCACCTCGCTTATTCCTTTCAACCCTTTATCTTTTATATCTCACTCCAACATTTTCTCTTGTCATCCTATGTAGCCTCAACTAAAAAAAATAAAAAACATTGGCAGTTAAACAATCT